TTAAAGTCATCTCGTTTGTCATAAAGCTTGGTTGTTAGATTACCATTATAATCCTTTTCAAGTGAAACATTTTATTTTTGTGGTGAACTTCATTTGGTATTAGACACGTCATCACTGGTCATTAATCTCGTTCAACTTTGGTAATTACTTTCAAAGAGTTGGGCTTGGACTTTCACACACGTATATTTCATGTAACAAGACTTTTCTTGATATACCAATACTTTTGTTTACTTCTTGATCATCATCTATTCCCGGATTTCGATTTCCATTTGAGAATCTTTAACCTTTAAATGAGCTGCTATACTGTGAGTCACAAGCTCACAAGCAAATCTTATTTCTTGACCTTCATTTTTTCAGCTTGATTTTCACTGGAAAAACTTGAGTTTTTGTCAGACTAGGAGCAGTCATTGGGTTTCAGTGTTCCACAAACACATTTTTGTTTTCTCTATGATCGAAGTTCAAGAACTCTCTTTAGTTATTGGAATCTGTTCTGGAACTGTGTTTTAATACATAATTTGTCTTAAATATCTGTAATTTTCCTTAGGGACAGTACATAGTTATCTATCGTCTATAATAATGAGTGTTATTAAGCTGACCCACATGACAGCCTAGACGTATCAGACAGAGTGGTCTGTAGGGCTTCCTCCGTCTCGCCATTATTCACATAAAGACTGGCTATTGACCTTTTCGTCCCAAACATACGTTTAGTTGAAGCACGACACAAGCCTCTGGATTTTTTAATGGTCAAGGAACATATGGAAATAACGAACGTACAGTATTCAAAACCAAAAGTCTATAAAACAATACAAAATACGAGCAGAGCAAACACGGACCTCAAAAACATCAGAGATGGGATTAGGTGACATGGAGGAGTGAGCATCCCCTGCTTATCGGTCACACCCTTCCTTGTCATGATCGGGAAATACCCGGTAATACGTCAGTCAGCATTTGACTTAGTGATAAATTGTATTTGCTGACAAGGTCATTGTATCGACCATAGAACTTACGAAACGGTGACTTTAAACCAGACTGCTGATATTCTTGTCTCAGCAACTTGTTTGTCAGTAACTTACATCGTTTAGAAATTGTTCATACGTAGAGCATGCTCTTGCGTATCGAATCAACTGAGATGTATAAACTCCGTATGCGGGTGATGAAGGTATATTGCTGCATAAGTAAGCTAGGGAAGTTGAGGATTGTAAATTTAAAGTCATCACGTTTATCATAGAGCTTGGCTTTTAGATCACCATTTACGTCTTTTTCAGTACAATATACAAATATGAAACAGATTGTCAGACTCTGTTTTATCTTTTATCTCAAGTTCACCGGGATATATCGTATTGATTTAAAAAGGGAAATTACAATTATTAAATTGTCAAACCGTCGTCGATATATCTAAATGTCGAGTTGAAGATCACAGCAAGTGTATTCCTCTTTTCATGCATAAGATTTTGGGCAAATTCTGCTTCATATGAATATAAATCAAATTCAGTCTGTACAGAGAACACTTTCGTTTCCACACGATAGTAGAACCATTTGAGCTATTGCAATGAAATTTTATATTCTGGCCTAATGAAGAAAAATGATTTTTAAAACTATCAATATAAATTTATAATTCTGTCTGTGTGTAATACATCCTGACGGATATTTCAAGAAGATTTTTTTCAATCCTAAATACCAAAACTCCTTAGGACCTCTCTCGCCCCTCTCAAAGTGCCCCGCCCCGTTTGTATTTATAGTACTGGTATTTTTAGCGCAGGGGCTGAGGAATTGTGTATAAAACAGGCCAGTCTGACTTTACGTTCTTTTACATCTATTGAACTGTTTAATAAAGGCTAAATAATTCAAACACCATGGATTATCAAAAATCCTTACGCATGAAAACATAAATATTACTTGTTCTCTTATTATTATGTCTCTCGCTTCAAATGTGAGACGTTCCGGGATCGAATCTGGGTCGGTCCTTTCTTTTCTTTTTTTTTTAATACTTTTTAATTTTTTTATATAGATTCAGCTTTTTAAAAAAAAATTTGTTGGTTATAAAATTCATAACAGTGTTTTCCATATAAAAAATTATACACATAATAAAGAAAAGCAAATCTTTATATGCATATTGACATACATGTATTTTATTTCCTTGTATACATGTATACATTTGATAATTTACAAATTTGGCGACTATGGGGTTGAATTAGCTTGTTAAATTGTCAAACCGTTGTCGATAAATCTAAATGTCGAGTTGAAGACCACAGCAAGTGTATTCCTCTTTTCATGTATAAGATTTTGGACAAATTCTGCTTCATATGAATACAAAAAAGGTCTGCTAATAACTTGGCACAACTGGTACCCATGGGAAGTCCAATAGATTGTTGGAAGACCTTGACTCCAAAAACCACACAGATATTGTCAATCAGAAGCTCAATCATCTTTTTGATGTCTTATGTGTAAATCAGACTGTGTTTTAACAATAAAATTTTGCAATTGACGAATGACAAGGTAAATGTAAGTAAATTAAAGAGTTCCATTTTTATAGAAAAAGCTGCTGCCAATGATATAAAAAAGCTTGGACTTTAATTTATCGTGGGGAATGGTTGTGTATAAAGTTGAAAATTCGTAAGTTTTTAAGCTTTTGATTTTGGTAAAACCTTTTGATTTTAAATTGTCCAAAAGTTCCTTGGAATATTTAAGTATTGACATCTGAATTTCATCACTTCTTGAACATATATTGTTTCCGAGTATTCTGGAAGCTTTTCCTTCATTACTGTTAATATCTTAGTGAGGGGTAAAGAAAGAGGCTTGGTTGAGCATTTACTGGAACCCGCTATGTATCTTTGTAAGGATTTTGATGAAGTTTTGGAATCCGATTTCAATTCCTATTTTCCAGTTTGGTTAACCGAGTTTACTCTATAAGTGTCTGATATACATATATATAGCTGACTTGGAAGGAGATGGGACATATCATTTCTTATATCTCGCTCAGCTCGGTATCATCGATAGGATGAATAGGCCAGAGAATGATCGAATTTATATACCGTGTGTTATTTTCAGTTTTTTATTCAGCAATATATACAGTATATTTGTGAAAATAAAATTTGTTTAGGAGACAATGAATGAATTCCTCTTATATACAAGCAGTTCTAGATATGAATTCCCAATAAGAACTCCAGAAAAGAACATTCCAATGAAATAATTGTAAATACACAAAAACAAAAATAATCATCTTCATACTCTGTTCTCAAACTTTACGAATTAGAATGAATTAGATACCTGTACGTGTACTGCGTAATTTATTTGATTTTTATTGTAATACAATGTTTATCTTATTACGGTTCGTACATGTACCTTAAGCCAAACTATTACATGTAACATTTTATTAAGTTTTAAAATTTATTTATTTATTAATGATGAAAGCTCAAAGTTTCAGTGTCACATTTCTTCGTCAACAGGAATATAAATCCCCAAGATCAACGATGCATATTATACATATAACCGGAATGTTTTAAAAGCGAAATAATCGAACCTAGAGTCGGTGCATGCCCGCCGAGAGTAGCGAATTATTGAACACATCGCTCTACGAGGCGGAAACACAAATGTGCCTTCGCTATGTGTCTTGCAGATATTTTTATTAGTAGAATAAACAGAGTACCAAGAAAAAAGCCGTAAAGATAATAAGTTTTCAACGCTTGCAAACATTCATCGAGCTGTGGCTCTTATTATTTCTGTATCAAACTCCCACAATAGCGAACGGGCCGCCCTTTCTGTCCCCAAATAAATATATACGTAGCATTAGAACGTTTATTTTAAAATTTCTTCGACTATCTTCAACCGCACAATTTTCTTCTTTAAGGCAGCAATTTGGCAAATGTTAAAATTTCTTCCTTCTTACTAAATGGTCAGCTTAAAGATAACAATACATGACGAATGCAAGTACTCCTTTATTCTTGTAATTGGGTATTAAAAATTGTTTGAAAATTAATTTATCATTACAGAAATTTTAAAAAATCGATACGAATGATATGAGGTGGTAACATAAAGCTGAAACAATTATGACAAAATCAGTCCTATATATATAAGGATATTCTTTCTATATTGATAACATAATGTATCAAACAGAGTGTATGTCTCAGACAATGCGGATAATATTACTCTTAGCTGTAGACTTTATCAGTTCAATGTGTAAAAAAGTAAAAGCATAATGGTGTAAGTCCCTGGGATTCTTTAAATATTTAAACATACACTCGACGAGCTCACTGATTGCATCATTGATTTAAAATCTCACTTTTTTATTAGTTCTCTGGCTCCTTGAGTAAGACCCTGCTTTTAAAACTATTTGAAGTTTTTTCGAGATCAGTGTTAAACATTCTTTTACCGAAAGTCGGATCAATTTTTTCATTTGTCCCCGAAATAAAGTACGTCAGCAGGGGTCCTGGAGGTCGAGAAATCAATGGAACGAAAGCGTTAATAAGATATACAAATTGTTTAAGCGTGCAAAACAATAGCGCACCAATACAATGAAAGAACTAGCTGAATCCGAAACAAGTAGTAACCAGTTCCCATCCTTACACACATGGTGTGTCCTTCCGGTGTTGATCTTGAGAGAAAACCTTAGGTCGACTAAAGCATACACAGACTATTGTTCTGCATGATGGATATTTGAAATTTGATTTTCCCCACCAGATTATACACGTGCCTTTGAGAGTGCGAAAAGTGAAAGGAATCTTCGATTTTTTTTTTCGGCGCTGTACCGTGGTGATATTTATGATGTATCTTCACACTTTCATATGCAATATGTACGTTAAGAAGAGCGTGCCAATGTTTCAGTAATAATTTTTAGAAATTCAAAAAGCATGTCCAGGATAAAGCAAAGAAGTATGTTTTATTTTTTATTGCCGATACTGAGAGGCGGTGCTTTTTATTTTATCTTATTCTTAGTGGAGTTTAAAAAAAATCCAGATCGACTATTATGTTGGATTAATGGATTGTTTCAAATTTGTTTCCAGTGGGACAAGCAATCAAAAAGTTAAAGCTCCGAAAATCTTCTCCAGGAAGATCCCGAGTGCAGCAGCGAGGGTCAGTCAGAAAACGACTACAGTCCAGCCAGTCCTTTGTGTCCAGTGGAGGTAAGAACGAGAGAGGGGGGGGAGAGAGAGAGACAGACAGACGGACCGACAGAGAGGATCAGTCAGAAAACGACTACAGTCCAGTCAGTCCTTTGTGTCCAGTGGAGGTAAGAACGAGAGAGGGACAGAGAGGGGGAGAAAAAGAGACAGACGGACGGACAGAGAGGATCAGTCAGAAAACGACTACAGTCCAGTCAGTCCTTTGTGTCCAGTGGAGGTGAGAACGAGAGAGGGACAGAGAGAGAGACAATGGGTGCAGAAAACGGATGCAGACCAGTCATTCATTTGGGACCAGTGGAGGTTAGAGCGACAAAGGGAGAGATGGACAGACAGACGGAGAGGGTCAGTCAGAAAATGAATACAGTCCAGTCAGTAGTTTGTGTCCTGTGGAATTGAGAGAGAGATGGGATTAATTTTTCATTTACCAAATTTACTTCTTAAATCAGACAGAATGACGAGACGTGATTTATTTATGTATGAAGTTCCGGACTCATGATTTAAAATCGACTCGACAGCACATTAAAGTGTCTTTATTTATTCCATATTGATCAATCGATGCTGTTATTCCTTAATCTCCCTATGTAAAGTCTGATATTTGCAAAAGGGTTTCCGGTAGTGCTGTTAGCTTATTTAGTGTAACAGTGATGTAGTGTACCGCGAAGTTGGTGTAGCCGCTGTGTGGTTGTCCTAAACCTACCTTAATTGAAAGTGAGTACGATTACAGAAATTCACTGTCGACTCGTTGTGATACAGTGATCAAGCCTGGCGGTAAACGCTGGTTTGAACGTAACATGCTCTGTTGTTTTGCCTTGAAGATTCATGAAGAGAGAGAGTTATACGAGTTTAGCACTACTGCGGCTACAAACGTCGCTGTATATTTTTGCTTAGTGGAGTGCTTAAACAGATGGGAGAAATTGGCGAAACATGCCGTACCTTTGGGAAAACAATATATTTTATTAAGTTTGCTAACAATTGTAAGCAATATCGATTGTCAAACATTCCCTTCTGTCATTTTTTGAGATGGGGCATTAATTGACTGTACTTTTCAAAATGTTTTTAATTACTTTTTTTTTTTACGTGATTTTCATATTTTAAAAAATGACACATGATATAGGTTTGTCCTGACATGTATAGTAAGACAGGTGATAGATTTATGTTGAATAGACCTTTTCTCTACAAATAGTGATATAGTATGAATACATTTTTTTTCGAATATGTCCGATCATATTGACGTATGATATACGGAATTTTGAATGATTCACCTGTTCTTGATATAGTGATCCGTGATATAATTTAATCCTAAACCTAATGACACATGAATTAATTAATAATTGTTTTATGCACAATCAGAGACCAGAAGAGCTTATGCGATATAATGCGTCCGGCGTTGTCCTGACATCCGTCTATGTCTGTAAACAATTTTTCAAAACGTGATTTCAATATAAGATACATAAAATAGTGCATCGGTTTTTGATTTCGATGAACGGTGTTGCCATGGTTACTAAAAATAGAATTTTTTAGAAATTCCTTTAAAACACTACTCCTTTACAGTTTTGTTTGAATACTTGGCACACAAGTAGGCTTAAAATACATAAAATAGTGCATCGGTTTTTGAATACGGTGTTGCCATATAAAAATAGAATGAGAAATTCCTTTAAAACGCTACTCCTTCTACAGTTTTTCTCATTTCAATATCACATGGCACACAAGTAGACTACACTAAGATACATAAAATAGTGCATCGGTTTTTGATTTTGACGATGTTGCCATGGATAAAAATACTGTGAAATTCCTTTAAAACGCTACTCCTTCTACAGTTTTGTCTCATTTCAATATCACTTGGTTACACTAAGATGCATAAAATATATCGGTTTTTGATTTCGATGAGCGGTGTTGATATAGAATTTTTGAGAAATTCCTTTAAAACGCTAAAGTCTCATTTCAATATCACTTGGCACACAAGTAGACTACACTAAGATACATAAAATTATCAGTTTTTACATTGCAATGGTTACTAAAAATAGAATTTTCTTGAAATTCCTTTTATACAGGTCTGATTTCAATATAACTTGGCACACAAGTTTCTTAAAATATATTTTTATTTGGTCTCGACAGAGACTTCTGGTTTTTTTTTGGTGGACCAGTTGTTTGACAAAGTAATATAAACAGATTTTTCTTTAATGGATTTGTCCTGAATATTTTGATACATGATTTAGTAATATATACAGATTTTTCTTTAATGGACTTGATTTGAATATTTTGATACATGATATACAGAAGTTTAATGGGACTCACCTGTTCATAGTGGCACATTATGAAGTGGACCTGACTTGTATAAAGTAACTGATGATGTACATATTCTTTGTTTAATGGGTCTATCCTGTGGACATTTCTGTCCAGTATATAATATAAATATTGCATGTAGTTGAGTGTAACCGAGATTGACAATGGTTTTCAACGGGTGAAAATTTTCAATGTTACACTCAACCACATGCAATATTTATTATATAATACTGAATGTTTTATACAAACACATATAACAGTGAACCGTGCGCGCATAAATTCTGGAGGGCGTGGCTTCATTATTCAGCGGGTAATAGTGTTTTTTAACAAATGTTTCTCGACCAATCAGATTCAACTAATTTACATGAAAGTATAATATTACTTGTGATTAACAGATGTTTATTGGAGATCACCTGCGTCGTATCATCAGCTGTTGTATAATATTCATTACATTTTTTTAATGGATTAGATACAGATAACAGATTATTCAGGAAATCAATTGATTTCCGACTTAAAAATTTAATGCTACAAGCTCCCTCTTGCACTATAAATACTGATTTGCATGAATCAATCTAAACTTCCTCTTAATCGAATGACAAACAAGCAGGTGTTGATGCAATATTACTGCCACATTAACTCATTTTAATTTTTAATGTGTTCTGTCACAAATCGAGTTAAAATCAGCCAAAGGTTAGCGAAACTGACGATTTCACCAGGGGAACTAATGAACGAAAATAACATTTAATTTTTCACGTTCTTTAAACAATTATAGATATATAACTTATATAGCAGTTATTTATTTCTCCCATCGAGGCACACATACGTAAACATAACTCTTCAATGGAACATATTCTTCATAAAGAGCACCCTCTGCAACAGATGACTTTTTTGTCTTTGTCTTTATTAAAGGAGGACATATAAATCAGTCAATGTTGCTTTCCTTGAAGTGTGGTTGTATAGATATCAATAAAACGGTAAAAAATATACATTTATTTGGATCATCTACCTCTTTTACATGAACTTTTCTCATCTTTGTTAAAAGAAAAATTGTACGACTTTAAGCACTGATATATAACTCTTAGACGGATTCTCTGCTTTTGATCTTTTGTCTTTTATGTTAAAAATAAAGTTCTCCCACATGTGGTTAACGTTTCTATTGAAATATACGGTTTTGCGGCTTACATATGAAATACGCTCTTTCTATTTAGGAAGTGAATACTCTTGAGAATTAATAAATGCAAGGCAATCTTAACCAAGCATAGCATCATCTATATTCGAAGCTGGTTGGACCAACTTTTTGTGAGTATGGTGGTTCGTGCTAGTAAGATTATGTCTCAATGTCTGCGTATCGCAAAAAAATATTTAAATATTAACAGCATGTCATCTGTCTGTAGCCTAAGGCGTGCTTCCATTTTTGTATTTCTATAATGCGTTGTACGGAATCATAGACCTATAGCCTTCAGGGCTTTTGCAAAATATCGGAATGATACCGTTTTCTTTTAACTATGGCAAGTTTCGGTGGTTAATTGAAAGAATTGTCTTGATAGGGTCAAACTCTAAGTATATTTGAATGACAATAATCATGTATTTACAGTATGCGTTCATAATGACTTCCGATATAAAAGCTCGCCCGCGTGGCGCAGTAGCAAGAGCGTCTGCTCAAGGGTCGCGGAGTATGGAGTTGATCCTTTCGTCACGGCTTCGAATCCCACTGTGGGACGCGGAGACCGGTCCTTCAGATGAGACTGTATAAACCGATGCTCAATGGCCGTGAGTACCGACTATAGGACAAAGTTTGTAGCTCTCCACCGGCAAGTGGTGGGGTCTTCATATGACTGAAAAATTTACGAGAGGGACGTTAAACATCAATCGATCATATGGAAAAGAGGAATATTAGTAACCATGCGTCTTTCATGAAAGGAACAATTTTCTCTAATGCTGGAATATTTGGAATTGGGACTTTTCCCCCTTGAACTTTGAAACGCTGCATTGCAGTTACATCAAAGAACAAAGAAACTTGGACTGAAAGGAGTAGTTTCGAACTGCATACTTGTGCGAGAAAATTTATCCTATTTTCATACACGCAATGTCGGGGCGTATGAAGATGAAAAGTACAACTCTGTATTTATCTCCTCATGCAATCTTACCATTAAACATATGGTGTTGGTGTAACATAAAAGAGCCAAAAATCCCAATTGATTGAAAATTGGTTGATTCTACACTCTCGAGCGTTTGCGTATTAACAGGTTTATATAAAATTCTGTTTATTTCCCATATGCTATAATTGAGGACATAAGTAATGTCGGGATCTGCTTGGCAACATAAACACAGGTCTGTCTCCAAGGAGTCTCTATAATATCTCGATACTCTGCTGATGCAAGTGAATAAAATCGGAAAAATGTCAACAAAAATATAAGGTTTGGTTAACATGGAACTGTTTTCCTATGTACAATATTTTTCTTTAAAAGTTTTTTTATGCTGTTGTACATAAATTGTTTGGAATAATCACGCAACCAGCACGTAAATATAAATGTTTCGTGGTTTTGTTTTGTCACATTGAAAATTTTAGTGTTTGACTAAGTAACATGCATATAAATTAACAAATTTTTATAATTATGTACTAGTCATAAATGATCGTGATGTGTGATATATTCCAACCTTACATAATAGGGTCGCGGGAATGACCAAGAAATTCCCAGGTTTTCAAGACTATCTTT